TAAGATTACAGAATAGATTGAAAAAGATTAGTAGTACAAATAATTACATTAGAAAAAAGATATTAACTAGAAAAGATATAATATAATGATTTTAAAAGAATCGTTAATATTAGAATAAAGATTATATAACCGCGCTAGTGTATACATTAACACCCCCACACTATAGCATATACATTCGTAGCCTTTAGCTTTTAGAATCTCAAATAATATTACAACAATATGAATTATTAATACTATATTACTTTACCATCCCCATGATGATACCAACATTATCCTATATAGAGTTTTTATTATTATAAAAAGTAAAAGCTTTATTAATATTATTGATATTAAATTATTTAATTATAGAATCAATATCTTTCTTTAATTTTTGTTTACTAATATTAATACAAAAATTGAAGCTATAAAATGAATAATTATCTTTTAATTTTGATCTTAAATATAACTTATTTCTTTAATTGGAATTGATTTTATAGATTTAATTATTGAAATTCTAAAAATTGATATAATCTTTTTATATAACATTTAATAATACTTTTATTATTATCCTTCACTTATTCGATTCGGAGAGTTATAAAATCTAATACGTTCTTTTTTTTGTATACTTTTTTAGTATTGGGATTTTGCAAAAGTTATGATAATGCTTTCCTTTTTCAATCGAAATTCATTGTAACAGATTGATAAAAAATAATGTTAAAATTGATATGAATATTGAAAATAACTAATCTATGGGATAAATAATGAGACATTGAATTGTATATAGTCATTTATACATTTATTTGTTTATTATTTAAATATTTACTTTTTTTATATTATTAATTACCAATCTTTTTATAATTTCATAATTTATTAGTTTATTATCAAATCAATCTATTTTATACATTAATATTTATAGAGAATATTATAATTACAAAAGTTTATTTATTGAATTAATCAATATTGAATATTTTACAACTTTTAGATAAACTATGATTTTAAAACACCACTCATACAGAAATTTCTCACACAAAAAGAAAATAGTTTTCTTTATTTATTAAAAACAATAAATTACTGATAAAAATTTTTGAAAGAATATTATTAGACCGTTTACTAATAATAAAGGATTAATTGGAGTTTTTAAAAATAAAAAAATTGATATTATTAAAAAAGCTTGTTAATATTAACTAAAAAGTAAATATATTTTATAATTAAGATAAAGATTAAAACAAAATACTAATAATAATATAATAATTACATTTTGCAAAATTCGTAAATAATAAAAGTATTTCGTGTTAATTCTACCACAAACACCATTTCAACATTTAGTATATAAAATTATATCAAATAAAAAGAATTCTAAAAATCTCCAAATCTAATCTAATACTTTGACAACTCTTTAAAAAGTTACAAAAACATTTATAATATCTGAATTTGAGAATACATCTATTTTTTTAATAATAATTATATACTAATATACTTTAATAACAAATTTGTATACAATTTATACTCGTAAAATTACAATTATGAATAAGGATTTATATTTAGTTCAAAGTTTATAAAATAATATAACAGAATTCAAAATTTCTAAAAATAACAAAAGATAAAGGATATCAAAGGAAAAATTATTTAAAATAATATTTTTAAAATCAATATAATCTCTTTTTAATTCAAAGTTTAATACAATCTATTTTGCAACCAAAACTATACATATTCAATTATTCAACTATATTTATTTATCACCCGTAAACTAAATATCCAAATCATTATTATTATTTATTTTAGTCTTTTTCCCCCTAAAACAAAATCTATTAAACAATTCATTATTATTTAAATTAAATTATTTTAATAAATTATAAGATTATGGATTTAAAGAATTTAAAAGTTTTTTTATTGCTTTATCATTTTACAAGCTTAATCAAAAATCCAAAAAGGTATTCGAGATTTAAAAACTATTAAAGAAAGTATATTAAAGCTTCAAGGGGTAGGAGATATATTATTCTAATTGAAATTATAATTTCCATTCTCCTTTTTAATAGCTTCTTTTTTGATAATATTACTTTTAATAGATTCTCTTTTAATAATTTCCTTTTTGATAGATTTTCCTTTAAAAACTTCTTTCTTGATCTCTATTAATTTTTTATTATTAAAAATCAAATTAATCAACTAAATATTATTAACAAAAAGAAATATCTATAAAACAAACTTATATTGATCCTCTTCGGTTTTGATTTTTATAAAAAACAAAACAAATAATACTCTAAATAGTGTAAGAAATTTTTGGGATTTCTATTGCTATGAATTATTCGATTTGATTTCATTTTTCTTAAAGAATTATATATCAATAATTGATATTTAGATATATAATATTATTTGTATATTTTTTCCAATTAAATGAGTAATTATCAAATTATCGAATATTCTTCAATATAATTGTGGAGTCAATCTAACAAATCCTCTATCTACCTTTTCTATATTCAAAATCTTTATTATAAAGATATAATAATTATTCAAATTAATAATAATCTTATATACATTATAATATATATTCTAATTAGTAGAATTGAATATTCTCTAACAAACAAAAAGATATCAATCTTTAATAAATATATCTAAAAAAAAAGTTTGAAAATTATTACAATCAATAACCTCTTCTTTATATTTGTTGTTGAAGCTTTTTATAATATAAATAAATATATTAATTACTTCAAAACAAATATATTTATTATATATAATATTATACTTTTTAGTTTCACTATTTTCATAATATACTTCTTCTTGATTAGTTTTAATTGCTAATACTCATTGATTGTTTATTTCTTTTAATTCTTTAAAAACTATAATCGGTATTATTATTAGGCCTTAATTAGTAATAGAGTTGAAAAACTTTTGACATTATTATTATAAGTATGGTAATGTACCACCTTTTACAAATCCCTATAATGATTTTTTATATTCTGAAATCAAGCATCTTATTTGAATAAATAAAGTTTTGAAATCAGGATTTTTCAAAATAAATATTTTATATTAATAGTATAAAGTACTAGGAATATAATCTTTTTATTTTTGTATAAATTTATTTGTTATATCAAATAAAAATAGATATTTTAATATATTTCTGAATTTGAATATAAATAAGATTTAATTTAAAAAGCAAAAGATTATTAATATATTTATTCTTGATTTATAAATATATTGAATTTAATTATATTGACTATTATATAACTCAAATATATATCAAATTAATAAATAATTAATTAAATAAATATTCAAACAAATCTATAAACATTTATAGATTATTCAATTTGAAATATTTAATTATATATAGTATATGTAATATTTATTCTAATTATATTATAATATTATATCAAATAATAATATATTATATTTATTAGATAATAATAGAATATTAGATAATAATTATAATTATTAGATAACGAATCTTAAAATCGAATTATAATATATTAAATGAAGAAATCGTTTTGAACAAAAATATCCGCATGATATGTTATATGTAAGATTACAAACTAGACATACATAAGACTTGATTGAATACTATTATATACTTCAACATCTATTCAACAAAGAAAATATCTACAGATTCATAAATCCAGATCTCACATGGACTAATATATGTAAGTAAAATTCAATTACACATCTCAATCCCTCACGACGACGTCACTTCAGCATCATCGTGAGCAAAGTCCACAAAAACTGACTTTTGTTACACATCTAAATCTATCACAACATCATTGATTGTCCTTGAATTACCTAGGTACACAACAAGAACCAGTGAATATCTAGAGACCACAGCGCCAACACAGAAGTTTTGTTGCACCTCTTGATATCCTGAAACGTCATTGTAAGATTACTAAAACTTCGGAATTTACATAACCGAGATCAGCCTATGCATAAAGAATATGACTGCAACGGTTTATCGCATATCTCTTTTATTCCGTACGTCATTCGGTGAAGATTAGGAAAAAGGTTCTGGTGTATATCCTCTAGTCTATTATGTTATTATTGCAGTCGGGACTATACTTTCTAATGCACGAACTCATCTCTTGACAGTTGATTATAGATTACTTCAAAGACTAAAGGTAGATAGCTTGAAAAGTGTAATTCATTTCATTTTCTTGATATTTCCAATCCTATCAATACACGGTGTGGGAGATAACGTATCTATCTAGAGCTAAATGAATAGTCTATTTAAACGCATTGCTGCAAGATATAAATTTCAGATTGGTCAGATACAGTTTACGATGAATCCACTACAGTAAGATGATTTTGAATCGTCAATAAGTGGTGACTGAGGGGTAGCGAGAGAACTAGGGATACAACATCTTACTATTTGAAGGCTTGTCAGAATGCGGTCTGCAATATTTATCCTATAGATTTGCAACACTTACTTCTCATAGACTCAGAATTGGCAAGTAATTTAAGCTAGTTTTGATCACCGCGGCCAGAAGAATTTTCGGGCTGAAATCCTAGTCATGGCTTGAAAACTTCAATGCAATAGTTCACAGATTTGTTAGGATGAGGACGGTAATTTAGAGCCATTAGATGTGCGCCATTTTGACTTGATACATCCGGGTGGTCACTGATCTGAGGCTAATCCAATTTGCCGGAGCTAGCGAAGAGAAATGTCACCTTTGTAATTTGCATCTTCAAAAGATTGTTATGGTCGTTATGATTGATATTCTAAATTCGGCATTATGTAACCTTGAATGACCGGAACCCATATTGGCTACCTAGTCAGTTTGATGTTTCAGCCATCCAACTTTAGCGTTTTGTTTTTTTTTTCTTTTTTTTCCTGACACCCAGAACCATCACAAACATGCTACTACTACCAATTTATGAAAACCCGCAGTTACACGAACCATCGACGTGCAAAGAATTGTCGGATTCAAAATCATGCTTGAACAAAACCAATTCCTAAGACGGATTCCTTTGCTTATGTGAGAACCTAGAAGCATCAGCTTGCTGCATAAGTATAAAATTGCCTGTCAAATTACACACCTTAGTCAAACTTTTCTGGCAATCGGGCAGAGTTCGGGCTCATAATAGTAATCTTTACGGTCTTCTTCCTGTGAAAATAGGCTGTCCCAGTCTTCTTCACCGTAAAATATCCACGAGCCGTGCTCCATTGTAGCGTACTTTGCCATCTCCTTGATCAACATGAAAGCGTCACGATCTGGCAATTTGTCCCAAGCGGGGTTTTTTTTATATCGAGCCGGCTTTCCCATCAAGTCCACCCCCAAGTATATCTCTTCAAGGCTTTGATGATTCAACAACGTCTTGAACGAAGAGTATACAGTGTTATGCCATCCATCTGTCTTAACTCCAACGTCCAGTGGACAATCTGGAACACAAACACCGTCAAACTCAGTGAATACAATAGACAGAATTCGCAGATTAACGAAGCTTTCTTTTGCGGCAATTGTCATAGCCTCAAAATACATGAGGTCGGCGTGTGCGAATTCTGTTTTTCTAAAGTAAACGACAAGACGGGCCAGAATAGTGAGTTTAGTTATGCAATTGACATAATGTCTGGGGGTCCAAGAAAGAAAAGTTTGTATACCATCAGGGGAAGGCTCAAGTTCCGGTTCCTGATCCCATCTCCAACTTCCAATAACAAAATTGGTTTGGGAATAAAAGTACTTAGCAGCATCATGATGAATCGCCTTGCTGACTTCGAGAATAGCGTGAGAATTTGTAAACGGCTCTTTGGCTTTTTTATAGGCAGAAGAGAGAGGCGATCTGATTGGTATCGGTCTTGTTCGGACGACTGGAATGTGATCGTATATCATCCAGCGAACATCCAACGGCAACTTCAAGAACAAATCCTCCCATGCTTTACTTTCAGGATTGGGTGGTGGTGACAAGAGACATTGTGGTGGGTCTTTGAAGGGCCGAACAAGTTGTGGTAAGTTACTGGTGCTCCTGTTGACTTTGCATTTTCTTTTCGCAACTGCAGTTTCTCTCAAATCTTTTGGCTTGATTGTTTTGAAAGAGATGGGATGTGCTGGCTTAATGGTACAACCATACCCATCAATTTTGAATGTTAAACTGTGTATTGCAGCAGGAAGAATCCTTCTTCTTACTGGTACCGGCCCCCAAGAAGTCGGCCAAACAACTCGGTTTTTAAATACATCCATTCTGCATTCTAACAATGTTTGATCCAAAAAGAAGAATTTGTTGAACGCCTGTTTGATGACAATAGAGCTTGAAACGATACTGCAATTACTCTTTTAAGGTATTGGTATTGATTGTTGACAATATTTGAAGAGCAGAATAATTCATTGACAATGTTGTATGGATATATTGAATGAATAAGTGAATTGAACTTGAACAGAAAAATCTAAATAAAGGCACTGAGCAGGTACACCTCTGCGCTTTCCCGTCATGTAATGCCATATGCCATGAAAGCTTATACATTCGCTGCGGCATGGGAGGTTTTCAATTTCCTAATTTGCAGAAAGCCCAAGAAATATAGAATAAGATAGAGTGGAACGAGACTTAAAAGGCAAGTGCATACTGGAAGAACAGAAAATCGCTTGATCAATCTTGCAGTTTTATATTTCTCTCATCGCACCTTCCATTCATATAGATAGTCAACCCTAGCTATTTCGACGTCTCTAAAGCTATCCGAAGATATAGAAGATTATGATCAGATTCCTTAAATTCTCGGAGCGTTTGAGCGACGACGAGAAACTCTCGTGTGGAGGCTCTTTTAAAGACTATCGCGTGTCGAAAAGCCATATTATCCCCTGTTGAGTTACTTAACAATACGCTATGAGAGTACCAGAACATATATGGATGTATTGGAAATAATTAACACACCGTATAAGACATGCATGGCAAGTAAAGGAGAAATTAAAAAGGGAAATGATGATTTGCACGATCTGGCTCTAAAGAAATGTGCAAATGCAAACCCTAATCGACTCTCCAAGTATCATTTTGGGTGTCAATGATCGCATGATTTCACTGATATATGTAGGTATGTTATATGAGAAAATATGACAATTTGATGAAAGCTGCTTCGAAAACGAAGAATCGTGTAAATGCGTCGAGGGCAAAAACTGACAGTGATGGTATGGTATGAATAGGCATGGGGGAGTAATAAACATGCATTCTCAGATGAAATAATCACATTTCTTGCGAATCACAGGTTACTCATTCTTTACAGCTGAAATTTTCAGGACTGGCAAGCTTGATAGAAGTTGTCAATATTGAAAGCAGCTCGATATCCAAAGTGAATCAGCATGGCTGTCCAATCGAACAAATTCCGATTGGATTCAGATACAGAAAACTTTTTGCTGCCGGATTATCATTCATGATATCACATCCACTACTCCTTCCTTCGAAATATGCCATTAAAAACCCCGTTCCTACTCTCACATTCTCTTTCGCGGTCCCTTGACGATAAAATATCATCTTTAATGTGCATCTGAGTTAAATCCGTTCCAGGAGACTCCCAAGCACCACCCTGGTTCTTCAAAGCTCTTTTGATTGAGTCTTTAATCACGCACAAAACGAGACCACCGCTTTCCGAATAGTCCGCAGGGCAAAACTCATATGAATCTGGATCACCGTTTAGATCCATCCAAAAGGTTATCTTCTCGAGGTTGCTATATTGAAAAAGGTTGTGAAACGAGTTGAATAGACTCTGCTCGACATTCCAAGGATGGGGGGGCATCGGTAGAAATAATTCTCGAGGTTCTATCTCATTATCAATATCATTGAAGATGATATTGACTACTCGTAGACTGGAAAAGCGTCTGAGAGTGACAGTTGTCATGTCCTGAAACTTATTCAGAACGGAATTAGAAACGTAAGCTGAAGAAGGTCTCACACGATAAGATACAAGATCGCAAGACCATACTGCTAGTTGATCTAATGCAAAAGAAACCAGAATGGTAAGTTCTTTGATGCATGAAATGTAGAACCGCGGCACCCGAGTGAGGAAACATCTTAATCCGTGGCTATTGGCCCGAGAAATCGATTTCTCAGTGTATGAGAAGATGCTCAGGCGATGCAGGGCATTAACAGAAAGTCTAATGACGAAATGATTATTCTCGTAGAAATACTGTGCAGCGTCATGATGTATTGCCTTGTTCACTTGGAGTAGAGCAGCAGCGCCCTTTGGTTGCTTGCGTTTTCTTCTTTCAGGATGTGAGCGAGAAAGAGTATCCAATGGAGAAACAATTTCAATTCGGTTCTTTTTGACAAGTACGTATCTGTAGATGATCTGTCGAACCTCCAAGGGCAAATCGAGAAGTGTAAGCCTAGATACACTATCGCTAGCTTTGTTGCCGACTTTTATCCCCTTTCGAGTGGTCTTCTTTGGGACGACTCGTTTGGCGACGACTTGCTTTGCAAGATTTCCTGACTTGTTGTTGGCCTTGTTGTGAGTGCTACGTGTTACAGCCATGTTTGAATTGGATTCGATGATTGAAGTATTTTGATCATAAGAGTGAAATGATTTATTTTGAGATAGATGAAAGAGGTCTCGAAGCATCTGTCGTAAGAAAGGAGCTAAACTGCCTTGGACATTTGTGGGGCGATTTCAGAGCTATTTATAACAAGGTTGAATGGGATGAAAAGGTGACGTCTGTGAAGAAAGGTGAGTAATGGATTGATTTTCGTAGAAAATTATCACTGTCGTTGTTGTTGTTGTCGTCGTTGTCGATGATTCTGATAAGCGGAGTCAGCAGAAGGTAGAATAGTAGGGAAATAGAAAGAGAGAAACAGAAGGGGAAAGAGAATATACTATATCATTATGAATTTGAAGGAGCTCAATGTTATCAATTTTAACACCGATCCAATGTTCTAGGATTAATAAATTTTCTATGAGAGTATTTAAAGAGTTATTGCAACCTTAGAACTCGGAATATTTTCAGAGTTCCTAGAGTGAATTGATAAACAGAGATGGGAAATGAAAACTCTACTTATGTTCTAATAGTACAGTTTTGAATATAGCTATTTCTAACTACCTACTTTGGATAGGCTGAGTTTGTATCGCATATAATTTTAATATTCATAGTTATGTCGTAGTTCCTGGGTTGGGGTTCGTGCAATATGCTCAATGATCATCATTTGCTCCAGCCCAGCCTAAGAGTCCTGGTTGTAGACAAAATGCTTTTAATGCTTCATCCCAGATTGGATAGCCGATACAATATCAATCTATCACTAGATAGGTACTCCGAATCTATTTTCATGCTATTGTGGCTCAAGTCCGATGTGGTTTCTCTTATTCATGTACAAAGAGATGGAGGCCAAGGAGAAATCATTTTGAAAGAAGTCTGAATTTACTGTGATCTGTGAGTGAAAACGACTTGTGGGTGGAACTCTTAAAAGTATGAATGAGTGCGTGATATTCGATTTCTGAGACTACTGTAGTCGTGTATAGCCATAACATGTCGAAGTTGTAACATCGACGTTGGTCACGAGGTTGAGTGGTGATACAAAGATTATGCGCAGGTGTATGCCAAGCCCCTATATAAAGATCGCTTCGGAAGTACCTGCATCACATACCTCAGATACCTCTTCATCCATCGACATCTTGGTATTATTTTGTTATTTCAAATTTGAATCATCGAGTTCCTAGATAACCTCTATCTCAATACTCACAAAACATGTTCTTACAATCTCCAATGCTTTCCCCACGCCCCACACATCCAAAAGACGGGCCGCGCAATCTGCCCGAAAGCTTGATTTCTGTCCTCTGGGACTAATCCCTCCACTCTTCAACATGCCGGCATTAGGATATCGCACTTGGAGTCTTGGATCTGGCTACATGTGCTATCATGACAGGGTACTGTGTAATCTCCATGGATATTTAGGGTTCTACGTCAGCTCATGTACGAGGGAAATAAGATAAGAAAAAGTAAGTGGATTGATTGTTGGTAGGAAAGAGAAGGGAGAGTATAAGTATTGTATTTCTCTCCAAATGCCCTTTCTCCTTCGCCCATACTCTTTCTCTCTTAGCTTAAGGTTATCTATATTCTGATATCTGTAAACCTGACTCTACTCTTCTCCTACAATGGCAACCATCTGTAAGCACACCTTCTCTATACCTCTCGGCACACTACCATGCTAATGTCATTTCGCAGATGATGAACCCACTGGCTGCAACTGCGATAATGAGTCAACCTATGATCAATCAGCCATAGACGCAGCATGCAAACAAGCATTACTGCTCGCATCTGAAAAGAAAACAGTTGGGAAGGATAAATATCCTCATGCTTACAATGGTTAGCTCCGCTATTACCATCCCCCACTTTTCTCCACTAATCCCTTCCGCCCAGACTACGAAAAGTTCACGTTCATTCCCGCCGCCAAAAAGCCTTACCTCGAATTCCCTATTCTCTCCAACGGTGCAACATATACTGGCTCGGATCCCACTTCTCCAGGTGCAGATCGCATCGTTATTGGAAGCATTGCTACGGATTATAAATCTGCCGTTTTCTGTGCTGTGATCACACATGATGGAAGTACTAAGAATGGGTTTACTGAGTGTACGAATACGGGAGATAGTGGTGAGGGAGCTTATGAAAGGAAAGACAGGGGAGAAGAGGGGAAAGAGGGAAGGGAATTATTGGAGAGAATTGATTTGTAGCTTCAAGGAGGATCTGGACGGGTGTGATATCGGAGGTCCGAATGATAATTGTTATACGGGTAGATCTATGAGAAGCTTACGGTGATACGAGGATGAAAGCAATTGATGTAAACTTCATTTCATTGCTGCATATCTCGAAATTCGAACTCATCAAAATAAGCCCGAGCGACGAATTCAAATATCAAAAACTACATTTATATCTCATCTATTCTAATCCCACATATGGCCCGCACTGGAGGGTAAATAATAATCAGCAAATTCGCGACCTATATCTCATTTCCATCTTCAAATCTTTTATGTCTGTTCTACCCGTCCCTTTTCATACCCACATTTCCCATATAATACATCACGTCTCACAAGTAAGACCCAATTTTCGCTCCCTGAACGAAAATTCACAAAAGCAAACTCAATCCTTCATAAATATACATCCATACAAACCAATCCCTCAAATTAAAGATTATTCCCGCCCCCATTAACTCTGACCGAATATCTCCAATCCTGGTTTCCTTCTCCCAACCCGCTTCCCAGATTCGGACCTGTCAATCCACTCCTTTCTCTATCTCGCATGCGATCTCGCTTACGTATCCAATCTATCGAGTCGCCGAAATCTACTATATCTTCATGAGGCCCTTCTTCGACCGTCGTTGCATTTGAAGTTGGGTGAGCGGGGGTTTTGGGTTGTGGTGCGGGAGAAAATGGGAAGGAAAAGGAAGAGAGTTGGGGTTGATCGGTAAAGGGATTTTGTAGTGTGGATTGAGATGCGGTTGAAGATGATGAAGGAGTCTGAGAAATGGAACTACTAGCGCGAGTTCGGGTACCAGTGAGACTGCGCATGGTATTCCATGTTAAGATTCTCTGTACTCCCGTTCCCGCAGTAGTTTTGCCGTCGTAGGAAGGTGATTCGTTAACTTGTGACATGTTGCCTCCCGCTCCACCACCGTTCCATTCAGCAACGCCGAATCCGCCAATGCTTTTTCGGTGCTGTTTATTCTTCTTCTTGCGCCGGAGGAAATACCATATTGTTGTTAGAATGAGAGCTAGGAGGGCTAGTGATCCGATGGTGATACCGGCGATGGAGCCTTTGCTCAGGCCGTGCTGAGTTAAGGTTGCGGAGGGGAGGACGGTGACGCCGACAGATTGGGTGCCGGCTCCAGTGTTGGAAAGGGGAGTCGCGGCAATCGTAGAAGAGGATGTGGTGGTGGAGGCGGATGAAGCTGAGGCTGTTGGTACAAGCAATGTTGAAGAGTTGGAGGTTGTAGTTGTAATTGTCGGTGTAGCTGCAGAAAAACATGATGAAGATGAGGATGAAGATGAAGTATCGACTGTACTAGTAGTGTTGGTATTTATAGATGTAGAAGATATATATGATGCTGGTGATGAAGATGAGATAGTTGAGCCAGCTGCGGTACTGGTGGTAATAGTGTTCGTAGATATCGCAGAATAATAGCTGGTGGGTGTAGCTGGGGGTTCGGTGGTCGAGGGAGGGCTGTTTGAATTCTGAGGGCGGGGAGGGGGCCCATTGCCATTTTTACCATTGTTGTTCACTCCCATATTATTCCCGTTGCCCATATCAGTACCTCCATTCATATTTCCTGGTCCTGGCCCTCCATCTCCACCATCTAGCTGATTTCCCTCCCACCAATCTGCACCACCACCTGCTTGCACTTCTTCATCCCCGAAGCCAGGTGGATAATACTGGGACTCCATAAATTTTCAGGAAAGATATAGTCAATTAAACAAAATGAATCTCGCATAAGACCGTAAGTCCCAAAATTCCTGAGTAAATGAGTCTTTGTAGAAGTAACATTGCATTTCATATGTCGATCAGTCCATATTTGGTTCTAATTCCAGGCCAAAGGAAAATAAATGAGATTTTTCTTCTGTAGGTGGGTTCGGAAATCCAAAGTAAACGCATTTAAGATCAGGGAGAAAGAGGAAATATGAACACCAGCCCACAGTGTCAAATTTGGCCTCAAACCATCCCGCGACAATACACGACTGGCCACGCACAAAATGTGCCATCTCGACTTCTATCTTCATGCCAAGATACCTGAGCGCTCAAGTTCGGATGAAGTTCTTCTACTGATAAAAACATCCCTGGTTCGTTTTATACGGCTATTCGGGACGGGCGAGTTGGGAGATGATATATTGCATTACAAAGTTAAAGACATCATTTCTGCCTTTATTATATCCTAAGATGTTGCCATCAAAGAAAGTAATTACAGCTCCTGATATCTAGTGCTTTGACCCCCTCGATGAGTTGGTGACATGAACGCTTTGAAGAAGTTGATCGTTACAGTGGGGTGTTGGCGTTTCATGTTTCGAACTTGACGTGAAGCCGGTCTGAGGAACCGTCTCTTTTCAATATATCATCTATCTTGCTAGAATAATTTTATGAACTTGTGGGGTCGGAAAGATGAAAAAGTAACTCCCGTCGTATTGGTATATTTCCCCAGAATGATGCAATCAGTTCTCAACGATGCGAATTTATTACTGTGAGGAATCCTGCCTTTCTTGACCAACTAGTTTCAAATGAGAAATTTCAATCAATTCCCAATACACATAGAGCATCCCCAATACCAGCATTCACAGCTAGATCCTCAATGGAATCATGGACTTGCGTTGCAACTTCTACCCATAGTTCTAGGAAAGGCGTGGCGTTTGTTCGAGCCATGATATTGAGAACGTAGAGCCCTTGCCGGGAACACCACCTGCGTCTGATCTCTCCAGGATGCATAGCTATCAGAACCATTCCTATTCCTTGAGCATATCCTTCCAGATCAAATTGAGATAGCAATACTCTCCCAAGTCGATGGCATTCATCATAGTCATGCTTCTGGTATGCGTTCATAGCTTGGGCCAATATTGTTTCTTGTGAAGCTGCCTGTAATATTTCATTCTGTGCATCACTTGATTGCAAACGTTCAAGTCCTTCATAGTCCATAGCATTTCCAACTCGATCAATCACCTCTTCGTAGGTTTCGTTTTTATCTGGCTTCACTTGTTGGGCGAGAATGAAATTGATAGCTCGCAATATGTACAAGGTTTTGTCGAATTTCGCACGTATCTCATGAAAGTCCGTTCCAAGCGTAGCTACACCAACTCGATCACAGTCTGCACTTGCTTTTGTGACCATTTTTCTCGCCACCCGGTTTGTATTTAACAATCTCTGCCCAAAGTCAACATTGCTTGGGGTTTTCAAGTCGGCTTCTGCCATGAAGTCAATAGCGCATTGTGTCTCTTGGTCGGCCTCACGCTTTAGATTATCAGCAAAGCAACGAAGCAATCGAAGTATCTCAGAATCTGAAAGTTCTCCGGGGCTTTGTGTAAAGTAACGCTCAAGCGCATTGTTACACTCATTAACGCTTCTTTCTGTGTTATCCCGCTGATGAAGGTATTGCACTCTTCTTAACTTATTGACCTCATTGTCTCTCTGTACTAACGCAACGTCATAAGCCTTTCTCTGCTCCGGATTTAATGATGAAAGTAGTTGAGCATTCGATTTTACAGCTTGCACTTCATACATTCACTTTTTTTTGGAATTGTTGAAGACATAACTTGATAACTCCGGACGTGAGGGGTCTGGTTCGATAACGACAATTGGAGCTGGTGTAGGTGCTATTATAGACACGCCAAAGTTTGTAGCCATTCTATCCCAAAAGTCGTCACTATGTATGAACTCGTAATATTTTGATACGATAGGCCCAATGCCAAATTGAACTCTCTCCCGCATTATAATCTTCAACTCTTCCGTTTTTTCCGCTCTTTGAGCATTACTTCGAAGCTGAGGATCCCGTTTGTGGAAGAACTTCAAAGGTCCCTGTTCTAGTTTCTGCCATGCAGGACGACGATCGAGACGTTCAGGAACATCCGTACGATCTCCAAAATAAAATCCATCAAGCTATGGAGTCAACCATAAGTACTCATACGAAAGCAGATGATTGTGAAGAATCATAACACGTACCCAGCATGTGGCTGCAGAATGATGCAAGCACCTAGTACACAATCTCAATATTGGGTCTAAACGTCGCCAGACCGCAGGATTATCTGCCGTCCATACCCCAATATTGTCTGGCTCTACAGGGAAGAATGGTTTGTGCGGTGGAAACTCCATCTGAATCACTGGCCATGTCTCTAGCGTGTGACGAGGCTGCCATTGATTTATCTCAAAAAGTGGACTAGAGAATGATTAGACATGTTCTGCCCGGTATTTATAGCTCCTAGAGAAAATGCTGCACTATGAGTAACGTGTCTCGAGGATAAAGGCAGAATAAGTTATAGATAAATCAGAATAAGAAAAGACCAATTACTCGATAGGGTTGGTAAGAGTTGGTAAATAGTTTAAAGGATAAGGATATGCTCCGATTTCTTCCAAGAGTTCGGGCCAATATCCAGACAAAATCCACTTCTGATGATTCTTCCTTTCAGCCTTCAATTGCTGGTTATCAAGTGCGTTTGGTGTCAAAGCTAAGACTGATTAATTATGCCATATTGAGCAAGAGGTGACATACATACCCGACTTCTTATAAGGAAAAAAGAGTTGTGTCGGGTCCATAATCTCTGGTAGAACTCCATACTTACTGGCCCATTCCGTACCAGCCTGGGTAGACCAAATGCTGTGAAATCTACCAAACTTGGGATCCCAGTTTGTGAGGGGATTCTTGGCGACCATACTTATCCCTACTTCTGGACACTCTGTTTTGTAGCTGAATTTGACAATGTTCAGTAGACGAGCACTATCGACGACATGTACCCCCCTGATATCTGACGGCGAGAAAAATTGCGAAATCGTAAAATAAGGGTCTAGTATCAAGTCGGAACTCCCATTTGTGACAAATGAAGAAATATTGTAGCTTATGACTGAAACAATAAAATCATATGCCGTACAGTTTGTTGATTCTTCGAGAGAAAAATAAATCCTTTATTTTCACCTGAGCAGGACACACCATACTTTAGGAAGAACCCATGAAACAGCTTTCTTTTGCAGCTTCCGCAAGAACAAAGATTCAAGACAACCGGATGATTCTTAAACCCATGTATCTTTCTTTTTTATATAAAAAAAAATCAATAAAGAGAGTCTTCAAAGAGGAATCTAAGTTTTGCTTGGGGGAAACGGAGGAAGTGAACCACTTGCTCGAGCACTTGCTAGCGAATGTGGCTTCAGAACAATTAGATAGTTATAAAGCATAGATATCCAAACGTATCTTTCCATCTACCTACTCTATCAATGGTTAAGTTCATGAGCCAAAGTTTGATATTGATGAAAATAATTGAGAGGATATATATGCAGTATATAAATGCCTCTTCCGAAGTATAAGAAAAGATCTTTTGAAAAGCATTAAGAGTACTTTTGGAAAGAGATAAATGTGAGCTTTACTTTTCATAAGAAAAATCTTGATACTTTTTTGATCGATTTTTTCTTAGTCAGCAATTCCAAAAATCAAAAAGATCCCAAATATTGAAGAAATGTGCCCTTTTGCCCTTTGGAAGAGGCTGGTGTTGTATACCAGCACGACGCAGGTGTATTGTTGTGAACAGATGCAGGTGATCTAGAGAACCTGGAAGCCGTTGAATATATTCTGTGGCTAAGGTTACATATGAAATGTGGCTTGTGACAGATCTCATGTACATGTGGCTGACCATTTCATAGATCATTTTGGCGGCTACTTGGGTTTTATATACCGATTCCCATTATTTTCCATACATGCTTTGCCTTCTGTGAGATAATATCAGAAACTGTCTGAAGATATAAAGAATTCAAGTAGAAAAGAGCTATCTATACCTAGGTAGGTGTCACACATCATTAATCGATCAGCAAAAATACATTCGTTGTTTCCTCTCACCCACGGACAAGACGAACAAATTAAGTCAAACGCAGTCCGAGATTCTGAACGTCGTGCCAGAAGTCGAATAACATTCTTCAGTGCCTGATTTATCTTCGACAATAGGATTGAAATCACTACCCTTCGGCCTCACTTGAGAAATAAAATTTTAGGACAAAAGGCTCACCACAGAATCACGCAATGCAAGAAAAGATTTGAAAAGGGTCGAAGATCAAATTCATCGAACATCACTCTATTATAGAGCCATCCAAGATATACACAAAAATGCTCCCAGAGCCAATAGCACGAAAAGAAAGAACACAGTGGGTGTGCTGTCTCGGGTCCCACCAATACCCCTAATACCAATAACATATACAAATCTTTTGAACATCGCCAAAAACTAACAATCATATAAAAACAGTAAGTCATGCATAAACCATGCAATCATCGAACTACTTAAGACGTAGGTTCAGGAGCGGCAGCAGAGCCGGATGGGAAGCCAGATGGGACAGTACCTCCGAATCCTGATGGGGCAGCTCCAGATGGGAAGCCAGATGGGAAACCACCTTGGTTTCCACCGAATCCCCCAGATGGGGAGGCACCACCTTGTTGGCCACCAAATCCACCAGTTGGTCTAGCACCACCTTGGGAGAAAGTACCAGATGGCTTAGTTTTGAAGTTACGGAACTTGGCGCCAGTTGGGGAAGCACCTCCTTGGCTGTGGTGTCCGTGACCACCTTTGTGGCCTCCTCTGTGGCCTCCTCTGTGGCCTCCGAATCCACCTGATGCTTGAGCAGCACCGGATGGACGAGCTCCACTTGGCTTGGAGCTACCGGCGGAACCAGTTGGCTGTTGCATCTCTCCACCTGGTGCAAAGGCAGCACTGCTTTGTTGACGTCTTTGATGACCGGAAGCCTTGGCACCTCCAGTGGCCTTAGCTCCAGAGGAACCGGTCTTTGATGCACCACTGAAGCCACTTCCTGATGCACCTCCCTTTCCACCTTTTCCACCTTTTCCACCCTTTCCACCCTTTCCACCCTTTCCGCCCTTTCCGCCCTTGTGGCCACCCTTGCCGGAAGCTTGAGCAACACCGGACTGTTGCGCCTTGCCGTTTCCGAAGTTTGATGAACCGGTTGGTTGAGCACCACCACTGTGGTGGTGTCCTCCACGTCCTCCAGCTCCACCGGAAGCCATGGCGAAACCGCCAGATGGAGAAGCACCACCGAATCCACCAGCGCTACCAGATGGATGAGCACCACCGGTAGGGCGGGATCCAATCTCACCAGTACCAGTTGGGGCAGCTCCACCGAAAGCGGAAGTTTGGCCAGCTACAAGAGGAGCGGCGAGGAAAGCAGCAGCGATAATCTTTGAGAAATGCATTTTGATGATTTGTTAAAATTTGAAAATTTCGAAATGTGGTTGGTAAGAGGAAGTTGGTTGAGAAAAAAGTTGAAGAAGTTTTTTTTGAGAGAGTGATATGAAGAGTTGTTTGAAAAGGCTCAGACCTGGAGCTGAAGATGTGAAAGAGAAGAATGAAGCTTGAAAAGACTGGATGCTCTAAGACTGGATTTTAAAAGTAATGTGGGATTCATACATCCTTTATATCCATCTTGCCGTCACCTACTTGGTGGCAATCATCACCCAATTCAAGTATAGGGGTTCAATGATATTCGCAGACAATTGTTTCAGAAAACACTGCCAAACCCCTGCCAATGGGTCTGCGTTCCTCCACGGTATAGGTAATGGAAGTAGGAAGTAAGTGATGAACCGGCAATTACAAAGTCACCGATGTCTCTTACCTGACCGGAAGATGCCTTCTTACCCCCCACAAGGTGATCAATTTGCGCGCTAACGAGTTATTGAATATACATGAGGGTCCGGTATGTGTCCCAAAAGTAAGAGGTAACGTCAATCTACTCAATCTGGGGTGTGCTATAAGATGTTAGCGCTAGCGTATCCATAACAAAAAGCTTTCCAATTGCAAAAGTCAGGGATAAGCTTGTCGTTTGAGCCTTGCGCCTGTAGCTCGACAGATAAATTAATGTCCAGATGAACCTTGTTTCATTAGCTCACAACTTAATTTCTACGGAACATTCTTGCAAAACACTTGGAGCAAATATATGTAGAACCGTGACGATAGATTAGCTGTGAGACCAAACAGCTTCATCCTTATGTGTAAACTGTCAGACAATCTGACATGTCATTTCGAAGATAACGATAGTCTAGGTTGTGATGTTACCATCGAACCCTCTCATGATGTAAACAAAGCATGGCGTCTAGAATTATCCTTTAAACCAGTATCTAAGTTTTAGCTTATGCCCTACATTGTAATGATCGCTCCTACCTGCATGCAAACAAAATGATCAGGGGAAATATCACCAGCGGATCGCCAAGGCTTCACGCGTATATACTTCCATTCAAAAGGGACGTTTCAACTTCGCGCCGTTGAAGCCTGTAATCATCTGTCTCTCGTCGTAACTCTTAAGAGAGTTCTAGACTCCATGAGCCCAGTCGAAAGTCGTGCAAGGTGATTTTCAGGAAAATTCACTTCAAGGACCACAAGTCGCGGGGATCAATCTACTAATTCTCCTAGACTCTCACAATTAATATGTTTATGTGGGACGATTGTACTAATTCGTATGGTAACGGAGATCTGGGACGGTAGGTTAGGATGAATAGACTTTAGAAGATGGTGATGACAACAGAAGGGATAACCGTTCTATGGCTTGTGCGTTGGGATGTCCGCGTAAGCTTTTCAATATCTGAGACGAAGTGAACCCCTGATTTCCCCACATATACAACCTCCTTTCATTTAGAAGTTTATGTTGCTTTTGCTAGAAGCGAGTTGAACTCGATTTCGATTTAGCTGTCGAGTTGTGGATGGTGACATTTATGAGAAAGGGGAGAGGAAATAAGTGACGTGGATTGTAGAAAATTACATTCAACAGAGAGCAAGAATGGAGATGGTATGGTGGTAAAGTTTACTTCGTAGACTGATAAACTCGCCATGGTTTGACAGTCGAGGGCATGCTTGTCAGGCAATTAGTCGAGAGTTGGCCATGTATCTTACTTACCACTCTGCCACCGACTCCATCTCGCCTTCGCCTCCTTCAGCCTTCAAAACGGCACGATGCCAAGTTATCTGACAACTTCAACTGTAGAGTTTTCCTGGTTCAGATTCACATGCCAGATGCTGGACACAAGGTATCTTACTGTAATTTATCCGTCAGCCACATAGCCACAAGCAAGTGGGTGTCCACGGGTTTCTTTCTTTACATACACACGGACGCTTTACCCACGGACGCTCTCGAAGTTGAAAATCCTGTCTAGTATCTTTCAGAATCTTTATTCAAGACTTTAGATCATAGAAAGCATTCGCCAAGTCATGAAACAGCTAAAGGATCTATCTTAGGGTTCAGATTCGTATGCCTTTACTTTATTCAGAGCATGTCATTGCTGATATGTCTTGGCAAGAGACAGGTACCGTTGAATACCGGAATACCGGTATTGATAAATTTCTATCTTTATCTCAAAAGTTTACTCAACTACAAACATGCCAAGTTAGTGGCGCGTCAATAGTTCTCAAGGATCGATTTGTTTGCGTATACCCATTCAAACTGAAAAGCTCTTTTTCTTTCTCTTGAGCTTCATGTACATGCGAGCTTATACTCACACGTCAGCATGACGATCTTTGGAAATGTTAGCATCTGAGCCATCGAGGCAAATACCGTCTGCTTCTTCTTGACTCAAGTTTCTTCCTTTCTCTCTGCCTCCTGCTTCGTCGTACTTGTGCACAATACCTCGCCAGCTTCCAACAATGGTGTACCGCATTTGATATACATTTCTTGTACTATTTTTCCTCTGTCATTCCCATATGTTCAACGACAAAATGTTTCCAAATCACCCACCAGCCTCCAGGATCTACCAGAGGGTCCTCCTAGCTAAGTCTCAATCTGGGTCACAATAGAGGCATAGAGTACACAAAGAAGCGATTTGGGCCAGACTAATAGAGCTGCGGTATAATCGTTGCAAAATTAACACGTTCAATGGCAGATCAGGAAATCTAATTGCGTACGAAATCACAGCTCTGTCGATCAAGCACAGATCGTTTGTCTGCATATCTTTGTCTCTCAAAAGCTTTCTGGGTTTTCCCAACAGCGCATCTACAGATCTGCATTTGATTCACTACCAAACTCCACAATGATGAGTTTCGATAAAATTGACGCCGTACTACATTTGCTTTTCCTATTTTGCCCTCGGTATCCAAGGCGAGTCATGATCGATACTTCGTAAAATGCTACCAACTCTCATCTGGTCTCTTGGAGGCTTCATCTGTGCAGACATCAGACTCATTGACGAATAAAGACACCCTCAGATGTCACATACCGACCGTTCATCCTCTTGCCGGCAGATGATTATGATCAGACTCTCTATTGTACCAATTCTCATATTTCTTCCTCGTGTTTTTTCCGCCCGTCACTATTGACCACTGCGAGAAATCTCGGCAGATTCTAGAGTCAAGCATCCTGAAGCTGTTGGAGCACGGCTACTGCAAACAAGATAAGCACCTAAATTAACATGACTTCTAGTCAAAGTAGGGCAAGATAGTTGAAGATGGTACTGCTCACATGCACCTCGCAGATCCGAGATACTTCATTTCGTCCTGCATTTCTCATCCTTAAAAAACATGAACAAGCTATGGAGGTATTTGCAGTCTTCAATCTCACGACGCTCCATACTTCTTGTCAGCTCAAGAAACAGGAAGGTATTCCGAATGCTTTTACTTTCGCGGGGTATGAATACCCCCATATCGGAATGGCTCGGGATAAGCCCCACCGAAGAAACTCCACTGTTCGTTTAATCATCGTCATATCATTTGTGTTGTGCCAGAAGAGCAATCTCAATTGATATTGTAGCTACATCCTAAGTGTTTTTCCACATTGCTTTTCTTTTCTGTTGCATAGCTTTAGCCTCTCTCATATTCATATCTCAACAAGAGCTTGTACAATGGCAAAATCAATGCAAGATAACAAAGCAATCCGCATGCTTCAAGCAGCAGAGGATGGCGGATATGGTGTTGTAGGAGTAGTTTCCGTGAGTACAGTTCACTCCTATATCACTCTCAAAACAAAGAACTCATGTCTTATCTTTAGTACAATCTCGAAACTATAACCGCCGTCGTCAGGGCCGCAGAACGCAAACGTTCCCCCGCACAAATCCTTCTCTTCCCCTGGTCCCTCCACTACTCACCCCTCCTAATCCACCTCGCAGCCGCTGCTTGTCGCACCGCCACCGTCCCCATAGTTCTACACATGGACCATGCACAATCCGAAGATGAAATTCTTGCCGCTGCAAATATGGGACTCTTCGATAGTATAATGGTCGATATGTCGCATTATGACAAAGAAGAGAATCTAGCCAAAACAACTAAATTGACAAAGATATTACGAGAGAAAGGCATAGCAGTTGAGGCTGAATGTGGTAGGATTAATGGGGGCGAGGATGGTGTGAAGGATACGGGGGATTTGGAGGGGTTGTTGACAACTCCTGAAGAGGCGCTCAAGTTTGTAGAAACAGGAGTAGATTTCTTGGCGCCGGCTTTTGGAAATGTGCACGGGAATTACGGTGGAGTGGAAAACATTAAGCTGGATTTTGATAGGTATGTGCAGGATAGCTCTTTGAATGCGTGTTCAGTGGTATCGTTGTAGGCTAATGTTGGTTCTCAGACTCGAGAGTATAAGAAAAGCTACAAATGGTCGAGTAAGGTTAGTCCTTCACGGCACGAATACATTCCCGGATGATACAATGAGAAGCTGTATCAAGGGGGGTATGACAAGGTGCAATTTAAATGATTTGGTTTTGAATACGTATAATAAATATGTAGCGGACAATACAGGGAGAATTCCTCTAACGGAACTCATGGAGACGGGAACTAGGCTGATCCAGGAGTTGATTGAACACCAAATGGATATAATTGGATCGACCGGAAAAGCATAATGTAAAAGTAGAGGACAACCAAAAGCATATTCGAATATTTTGTAGGTTAAAATTACTGAATGGATGCAAAAAATGTTTCTTTGTACAGCAAGTGCACATGTTAACTTCTTTCTTTAGCAAGTGCGAGGGAAGTAGTAAAAAATATCTACTAGTATCCGAACCTTGAGCTCTTTGCAATCTTGTGACAATCCGTTGAAGCTATCTGATCTTATTGAAATTTCGACATTGGCTTAATTAGAATCCAAAAAATCGCACCATCACATCGCGTTGTATTGCAATCAAATTTTGGCAGTATAAAATGCTGGAAGCAGAATACAATTGACTATCAACCAACCTCCACGATGCAATCAAAAAGAACACATCTTAGAAGCTACAAAAGTAGA